TGCAGTTCTTCTGCTTCTCATTCAGACTTTTCTGCTTGAATAACATTCAGGTTTAGCAGCCTAGAAATATTTAAATATTTTACTGTGTATTTCCTGTGTTTTCTTGTGTGCTGTGATGTCGGTTGTATTTAGCTGTATTCTGACTCTGTGGCTGTTTTTGTTCATGCATTTTCATCACTCGTGTTGTCGTCCCTTCCCAGGCTGGCCGGACAGACAGGAAGGAGTTCGTGAAGAAGAAGACCAAGCTGAACCCGTACGCCAGCACCAGCAACAAGGAGAAGAGGAAGAAGAAGAACTTCATGATGATGAAGCAGAGCCAGAGCGTCCGGACCAAAGGCAAACGCTCCTTCAGAGAGAAACAGGTACAGGAGCTCAGTCTGCTGGGTGTTTTTACCTCACCGTGCATTAAAGAAGAGTTACAGTGAGTGATTTTTATTCCTCCTTAATTCAGTGAGTGAGATGTAATCAGACTGATTCAGAGTGGTTTGGTGTGAGATGGTTCAGGTGTCTTTACAGTGGTGGTGATAGGAACCAGGGGTCGCCATGACTACAACACAAATATAGACATTTTATTTACTATCCAGAACCACCAGTGAACCTACACGAGTCTTCTGAGTTTATATGGAATGTTGATGATGGAAAATAGTGGAAAATCTGAAATAATAAGTTTTCTTTGGGGACTATTTTGCCTCACAGCGCCCTGCATGTATCCCTCCACCATGAATGGAGTTTAAGTTCTCTAAACTATCATAAAACAGTGTCTCAGTCATCAGGCAGTGAATTCATAACCATTTCATGTAGGAACTTTCTGTGAGGGAGCTTTTAGAGGGGGACGTCTGGTTCCTATCACCACCACTGAGAACAGTTCTGACTCTGTAAGTTTCTCTCGAACGGAGCGTTTCACACCAAACCACTCTGAACCGCTCTGCTTACATCTTAACCACTTATTTATACAGAAATGTTAAAAATCGGTGGAGTTCCCGCTTTAAAGTAGTTTGAAACCTTAAACACTCCACCCTTACCTTTAAGGTTGGGAGGGTGTCTTACAAGAAGACAAGCAGGGAGTGTTGGCCTGAGAGCCGTCAATCAAGTGTGGTCATCAGAATGTTTGGCCACACCCAGTTCTCAGATAGGGCTAGGTCTGATCGCTGATTGTAGAGTCATACAAATATTTTTCATGTTTTACACTGTGTTTTCCAGGACATTTCCAGGACTAATATCAGTGTTAATTTGTGTTGATACGGCTGAATACGCCGCAGTACTTTGTGCACATCTGCTGAACTAAATATGGACCAGTTATCAATTTTGAGAAGGCTAAGTAGGTTTTATAGTGTAAACAGCAGACTCTGATTTCTTAGATCAGATTAAGGCCATTATTGGATTTCTAGAAGAGCAGGAGCTTATTTTGAGAAGCTTCCTGTTTGTACTATGATCCTAAGTTAAAATCTGATGGGGCAAGATAAGATGTTTCATATTACAGAAGCAAATCTGATCTTAATTTTAGACATTTTATTGTATCTTACAGCATCTTATCTCCAGCTAGGAAATCTTAACCTGCTCAATCGAGGTTGACAATCAACTGTCATGCCTGTTGCCTAGCAACCGACCATACACACACAGCTGAAACGCAAACATATAATGAAAATAGTGTTAAAATGTGAGTTAAGCTGCTGTTACTGCTGTAAAAAAGGTCAAACAGAACTAAAGTGTGATAAACTGTAAGTAGTGAATACTGTGAGAGCGCCCCCTGCTGTTTATCAGAGTGCTGCCGCTCCCCAGTTTCAGTCTCCATTTCCCAAACGCTTTAGCCGAGCGCGCTAACGTTACTCCTCCTAATAAACAGACACACGTTCAGCTCCGTCTCCTCATTATTCACCACCATCACTGTAATATTTCATCATCAACATTAACACACGAAGGTGATCAGAGGGGCGGTGGAGATCGAGTCTGCAGCGTCTGAGATCTTTAAAACGCAGAGCTAGAAAAGAAAATCATCTCCCAGTGAAAGCAGCGTTTTACAGTAGAAATAAATGGAGCTCATTATGCTGGTAGTGAACTATGCTGCTGACACAGCTGCCTAAAAACCATAGAAACGGACCTTAAACAGAAGTGAGGACCCTGTTGGGGTTCATCCTAAAGTTAGGACAGGATTTAGGAGGTTTAGTCTAGTTAGGATGTTTGTGTGATGCTGTTTTCTTATCTGGAGTTCATGATGAGATTATGAAGGTAGGAGCTGTTATTCTGGAATAGATACTGTCTGAAATTCAGTCATCATGGAGACTGAATAGATCAGATTTCAGAGTTAGGATGTTTCTGTTAATACGTTTCCAGGATTTGAGCTCAGTGATGGCGTTTTTCAGCGTGTGCAGACCTTCACTCTGATTTCTTTCATTTCTCTCAGTCTGTTTCAGAAACAGCCAGCAGCGTTTAACGCAGCGCTGATTGTGTTGTGATTCATGTTGTTTTTTTTTCCTCAGGTTGCTCTCAGAGATGCGCTGCTGAAGAAGAGGAAATTCAAGTAGCCTGGTGGACGTTGAGGACGGTAGATCCGTCTCTTCTGACGGGTTCAGTTCAGGAAAAGGACTGAGGACCATTCGCTTCAGCCTGGCGTCAGAGTCTCTGTACAGTACTCGGTTCTGCTGATTGTCATATTTAAAACCATGTATTAAATACATTTTACAGTTAAACACTGACGTTATGTTTGTGTTTTGTGCTCTTGAGTCAAATGTTGTCCAGTAGTTTTTATATTTTTATAACCTAAAACACGACCTACACTGTTCTAACATTACTATATATTCCTAGCTGAGTCAGGGTTTTCAGTCCGGTGCTCAGAGACTGTCTGCAGTGTCCAGAGCTCTTAAAACACACTGCATGCTTAGTGTTTATAGTAGTGAGTGAGTTTTCTGTAGTTGTCACTCAGAAATACACTGTAAGAGGATAATGGAATGGCTGCCAGTTACACATAGTGTATTTAAAGTTAAAGTTTAGAGTATTCCAGTAATTTATCAAAATTCCCCCATAATTCAGTGTGTGAGATGTAAACAGAGAGATTCAGAGTGGTTTGGTGTGAAATGGTTCAGATGTCTTTACAGTGGTGGTGATAGGAACCAGGGGTCGCCATGACTACAACACAAATATAGACATTTTATTTACTATCCAGAACCACCAGTGAACCTACACGAGTCTTCTGAGTTTATATGGAATGTTGATGATGAAAATAGTGGAACATCTGAAATAATAAGTTTTCTTTGGGGACTATTTTGCCCCATGGTCTTCTTTCAGAGTGCTCCTGAAGTTATAATTTAAACCAGGAAGTTTTTTAATAATAAATCCTTAAATATTCTGATATGCTCTGTTATGGTTTTGCGCAGAAACCTACTATAAACAGTGGTACAGGATCTCCCCGAGGGCTTAATACTGATTAATAATGCCAAGATTTATGAATATGGATGATGACGCAGATTGTAAATGCCCACTTTCCCTCACGGCTCCTTTTTCAATGGGTTGATATCACGTTGTAGAGGGTCCTAATGGTTTAACAGGTGAACAGTGGCTGATTCTAAACACATTTGATGGTTTCCTATTGGGATCTAAAGATGTTCTACAGGACACTAGTGGTCTCCATTGAAAACCATTAAGCCAGTCCCCCATTAGAAAGCAAAACAATTAGGTTTCTAATGGTCCTTCACTAAATATGTGCATGTCTGTTTGCCTTTTTTACTTATTTGCTGTATTCTCTCAGTTTTCATTGGCTGTTGGAGAAATAAGTTCAGACCGAGTCAAGTTAGTATGGTTTTCTCCAACTGGTCTGAAACAAGATCAGGGGATAATCAGTCTGTTCTCATTTTGGTGCTCTTAAGATGAAAAAAATCTGCTGTTTTCATTTTTTTTTTTAAATGTAGCCTTCGAATGACACAGTGTGGTCGAGAATAACACTAAAATTCCTAGCATGGACAGAGGGCGTAGTTGAGTCTGGGATAGTCAGAGTGGACTGTCCGGTTTTCTTCAACGTGGCTGGAGATGCAATTAGTTCAGCCTCAGATTTATCACTGTTTAAAACTTGCTGTTCAGGTCTTTATATCAACAGGTGATCAAAGCAGCAGGCGGGAGTCTGTCTGAGGGCTCATTATAAGATTTGCATATCATGCGTGCAGCAGTGGAACTGGAGGCCATGCTGTCTGATGATCTTGCCAAGTGGAAGATTGTATGTAATGAAAAGTAAAGGTCCAAGAACTGAGCCCTGGGGAACACCACAAGATATTGTAATGAAAATATGAAAATAATACTTAATATCTTTTTGATTTCTTTTGAAGTTAATAGAGTTCAGATTTATTTTTAAATTATAAAATCTTTAAAACAACAAATTTTAGTATGTAGGTGGAACCTTGTTTTCACCAAATGAAAGAGGCCGTATAGTCTGGAAAAGTCCGAAAGTCAGTGTGGAACATTAAGAATCGTCATATTTTCTGCAGTTCAGCACTTTTTAGTGTTTTAATGTAAAATATGATTTTCTGTGTGAACAGCTGTTCAAAGCTGTGTTTGCTGGTCATGAACTGCTGAGTTTCTGAGCTCAAAATGAGCTAAAATGGTCACTGAAACATCTGGTACAGTCTGGTAGAGTTATGATTGTTTTGGTAGAGACAAAATGGAATAATCAATCATTAGCTTTAATAAAATAATCATAAGGTTTAGAGTCACTCAGAGCAAAAGGATCACTCATGCACTGTAGACGATGATCAGCTCACAGTGGGAAGGTAAATGTCTTATTTTAAATGACAGTTCTTAGAAGAGGAGAGCGAGACAGACGGGTTAGAGATCCTCTCTCTCCCTCCCTCAGCCGAAAAGGGGGGATATATAAGTCACAGACTGGAGGATTGTGTTTCAGAGAGGTAAGGAGCTGTTCTCCTGTCCTCCCAGCAGTCTCTCTCTCTGTCTCTCTCTCTCTCTCTCTCTCTCTCTCTCTCTGTCTCTCTCTCTCTGTCTCTCTCTCTCTCTCTCTGTCTCTGTCTCTCTCTCTATCTCTCTCTCTCTATCTCTCTCTGTCTATCTCTCAGGACTGATAATGTGGAACCTCAGTGATGGTGAGTCTGACCGTAACGGGTCGTTCTCTGGAGAGGACTGTGAGGTCGAGCAGGCTCTGGGCATCGTGCTGGCCGTCATGATGGCTCTGGTGGTCTTCTCGCTGGGCTGCTCGGTGGAGGTGGTGAAGGTGTGGATGCACGTGCAGCGCCCGTGGGCCATCCTGCTGGGGCTGCTGTGCCAGTTCGGGCTCATGCCCCTCACCGCCTACCTGCTGGCACTGGGCTTCTCCGTCACGCCCGTGCAGGCCATCGCCATCATCATCGTGGGCTCCAGCCCCGGAGGAAGCACCTCCAACTTCATCACCTACTGGCTGGATGGAGACATGGACCTCAGGTGAGCGTTCTAGCTTTAGGACTTTGAGGACTCGGACTGGACGTGTCCTGTTACTGAACTGTAGTGGAATAGTGAAGGTGTACAGAGAACCATCTCAAACTCAGCTTCTCACTCACAGCAGGTATTAAGAGGAAATAGTATACAAAGACTTTAAAAAGGAAATATTGAAAGAAAATGTTTTTTATTGGGGAAAAAACAAAAACATACAGAATGAAACATTTATCATGAATAATCAGAGCAGTTAATAAGACAGAAACTTACGTTACAAGTAAAGACTGTTTTTCTTTCTCCTGAAAAGTTTCTGCTTTGGAGATCCGTGTTTTTCTTTGGACAGTGAAGATTATTTACAGGCCTTTAGTGTGGTGATGTTATTGCTGTCGAGCTGTAGGAGCCACATTAAAGCGACATTCTGTAACAGTTTTACCCCAAAATAACTCTTTTTAATGCTACACTGCCAAATAATTAATAAATAAATAAATAGTGAGAGCGGCGTCTCTGTTGTTGCCACTCCGGGCTGGAATTCCTGCTATAGCGCGATGTAACTTTGGAGGAGCAGCACCAGAACCTCTCGCCAGAACTGGGTAGCGCTTTACGGCACCACGTCACACCAACAACTCAGCAGCTACAAGAAGAAGCAGCTCGGTATTCCCAGAATGGACATCATGGCAGAGGCTGTGAAGAGGCCGAAAGAGAAGCTGTCGGAGAAAGAAAAAAAGAGAGAGTGACCGAGCGAGAGAGACGAATCTCAGACTGGCTTTTCCTCATTAGCAACTCTCTGGTGTGTTTTTGATGCCAGTATCTATCTGTCTGTCTGTTTATCTATCTGTCTGTCTGTCTGTTGGTCTGTCTGTCTGTTTGTGTAGCTACTTAGCTCTTTATCTGTCCATCCACCCACAGATCTGTGTATCTAAGTTCACTGTGTCTGTCTTGTCCTCAGTATCTGGGATTCCCTTCCTTTGACTCTCTCTCTCTCTCTCTCTCCATCTCTCTCTCTCTCTCTCTCTCTCTCTCTCTCTCTCTCAGCATCACCATGACGAGTATCTCCACTGTGCTGGGGCTGGGCTCCATGCCTCTGTGCCTCTATATCTACTCCTACTCGTGGATGCAGACGGGAGGTGTGCAGATCCCGTACCTCAACATCGGTAACACATTCAGAGACTCCATCACTGCATCACAGCAGCTCTGAGGCCTCTCTGTCCTCAGTAGCCCTCACAGCGGGTCACTTACCAGCACCTCGTCTCTTAGAGCAGATGTTCTCAAACTTCCCCACCTCAGGGGCCACTTATTTATCACGAGGAAGAAACGGTAAAAAATATAATATAGAATTTCAATAATTTACACCGTAGATTTATGTAGGAAGTAAATGACCCACATTTGAAAAAAAATCCATTCAGAATTTCTGTAAATTTAAATGTATTTAAAATTCAAATATAAATTTGATAAAAACATTAAAAATTAAAAAGACTATCTATCTATATATATATATATATATATATATACACACACACACACACACACACACACACATATAGAAGCTGCTTAACTGTATTACTGATTTGTGTAAGTTAATGCCTTCAGACAGATGAAGGATGTTCCTGTAGCTCCAGCTCTGACTCCACAGGCTGTTTTTAATATTAAAATAGATATTAAAATCTTAGTCCTGTTATGAAGCACTCACCTGTCTCCCACCTCCAACATCTATACACTGAGTCCTGTTAGCGTGCCTGACTGACTGAGCCGGTCAGAGGGATCAACTGCAGGCTGATTTAGCCGCTCGCTCACTGCACAGTCAGCTTCACTACGACAAGACATGAAGAAACAGGACGATATAATTAACCCACACAAACGTGCATGCTTTTATTTAATTTAGAGTCGGGATAAATGTATTTTATATTAAAAGATATACATTTGATCTAGAAGATAATCCAATTCCTGTCATATGTTATGAACACCAGGCCTCTGGTCTATATTTGTGTTGTAGTCATGGCGACCCCTGGTTCCTATCACCACCATTGTAAAGACATCTGAACCATTTCACACCAAACATCTCTCTGTTTACTTCTCACTCACTGAGTTATGGGGAATTTTGCCTATTAAGTGAAAGCAAAATATCTATTTTTCATTATGAGATTATTATAAGTAAATGATTATTAGATTTTTTATGTCTAGACACTTATTAAAGTAAAACTTAAGTGTAATGATCTCACTGCAATGAGAGATCATTTTACAGGCCTGTTTCAGCAGATAATGCTGGAGGGAAATACAGTTATCTGATCATTTCACTTGATCACTTCATGTGAGTAAAAAATCTATAATAATCATATAAATTTCTTACAGCTGCTTCATAATGATCAATATTATCACCTACATTTGAGATGCTTTCACCTGCTAGATGTGATTTTCTGTGGTGCTCTTAGTTTCCTGTCCTCGTCTCTTCACAGGAATCGCGTCCATCACGCTGATTGTTCCTGTGCTGTTCGGAGTGCTGGTCAACTACAAGTGGCCGAAAATAGCAAAAATTATTTTGAGGGTAAGAAAAGGACAGTTAGTGAAAGACTGTTCTCTCGCTTTCTGAGTGTTTATTTCTGAGCTTTCCAAACAGTAACAGCATATTTCTACTGATGTGAAACACCACCAGAGCCTGAAGCCCCTGTGCTGCTCCAGATGGACTGTTTGATTTCCAATGTAAATGAATTCGTCTGCTAGCGAGTAAAGATTTACATTCATATGCAAAAGTTTCAACACCCCACTTGGCTACATGTTCTGATGATTTTCGAAGTGAAAAAGAGGCAATATTGCATCTTCTACAGAGAACACTCACCTTGCGTTTCCACTCACTGGCCACTTTATTAGAAACACCCACCTTGAGTTTCCACTAACTGGCCACTTTATTAGAAACCCCTCCCTGATTGGTCACTCCGTAGATGTAAGAATTACAGACCGTCTGTTGCTCCACAGTTTATTCCTCTACTCTATTCATGATGGCTCAGTTTCTGACCACGTATATTGTATTATAGCGTGTTTTTGATATTGTTTTGTATATTGTAGAGCACTAATAGTGATGATGTAATATATTTCATTTATTCCATGCTTTCCTCCGTTCTTGAAGACGCTGGTTCTGAGATGTTCTGCTTCTCTCTCTGCAGGTCGGCTCCTTAGTGGGCGGGTTGGTGATGTTAGCAGTTGGTGTGGCTAGTTCTGTGTTATGTGATGACCTGTGGAGCTCAGACACCTCTATTCTTGTGATTACTGCCATCTTTCCCCTGATTGGCTACCTGGCTGGATTCGTTATCACCGCTATAGCCCAGCAGCCATGGAACCGGTCAGAAAACACTCTTCACTCTGCTGGACTGTCTGAATATTTACTGTGTGCAGCTGTGGTAGTGCATTTTCACTATCAAGGGTCTAAATCACTGATTTACCACTTCAGTTATAATGTAAGGCTGATTAAACAGGTTTAAAGTGAAGACTGACAGTGTAATCAGGCATATGACACTAACTGGCCACTTTATCAGAAACCCCTCTGTTGTAGCTCCACTGTGCTGGTGGTCAGGTAGAGGCTATAGATCATCTGCTGATGCACAGTTCACATTGATTATATTGATTTATCAGTCTACTCAGGCTTTAGCAGAGCTCAGTAACACTGAGATTAATAACTAATAATCACATTGATTTATCAGTCTACTCAGGCTTTAGCAGAGCTCAGTGACACTGAGATTAATAACTAATAATCACATTGATTTATCAGTCTACTCAGGCTTTAGCAGAGCTCAGTGACACTGAGATTAATAACTAATAATCACATTGATTTATCAGTCTACTCAGGCTTTAGCAGAGCTCAGTGACACTGAGATTAATAACTAATAATCACATTGATTTATCAGTCTACTCAGGCTTTAGCAGAGCTCAGTAACAAGGCCAGATTCCTGAAAGCTTTCTAAAGAAAACATGAGCTTAGAAAGGATCTTAAGTTGCTCTCAAACTTGAATTTTGAACTGAAATTCTAACATTCAAACATTTAGAAACATTTATCTGTGTCAAAGCAGCTCTTCATAGAATTCTACCTGAAATACTTATTTTTTAATAATGATTTTTTGTTGTGTTTGCAGGTGCAGAACCATCTCCATGGAGACGGGAGCCCAGAACATGCAGCTGTGTGGGGTGTTTCTGCATCTGTTCTTCCCATCATCTGACGTGGTCACTCTGCCTGTCCTGTACTACTGCTTCCAGCTTCTCAGTGGCCTCCTGCTGGTCACAGGTGGGTACTGCATCCAAATCCACAGCACTCACTCACTCTAATCTGTAATCAATTAAATCACTAATAATGTTACTACTACTAATAAATCTAACAATAACAACAGCACTTATAATTCTACTACTAATCATATATTAAGCGTAACTAATATTGATAACAGCAATCATACTACTGATAATAATAATACTAATAATATCACTCATAAGAGTACTGGTAATCAAATCAAATCAAATCAAATTTATTTGTATAGCGCTTTTTACAACTGATGTTGTCACAAAGCAGCTTCACAGAAATCCGTTTAGGACAAAGGTTTAACATGAAATGTAAATCCTCCAGGTGAGCAAGCCAGGAAAAACTCCCTCAGAGCTGAGGAAGAAACCTTGGGAGGAACCAAGGCTCACATGGGGGGACCCATCCTCCTCTGGTCAAACTACCTACAAAATTATTATTCTACTAATATTAATACTAGTAGTAGTAGTAATAGTTAGGAGGTAGTAATAGTTAGGAGACTTTAGTGTAGAGTGGGCAGCCAGTCCAAGGCAGGTGGCGGTGACTGGGTTGTGGGTAACTGGTCTGAAGCGGGTAGCCGGAGAGCTCTACAAACAATCATCCAGCAGTGTCCGGCCGGACAGGTGGGCAGTCGTTTACTCTGAAGAAAGGTAGGGAGCTGGAGTTAGTTTAGTTCTGTATGGGTGTATGTATAGTAGTATGTAAAACATTTCCAGAGTGTGGCTAACGACTCCGGCAGATCTGACTATAACAGCTTAACTAAAAGGAGAGAACCGAAAGGACACACAGACACGGGAGCACCCTGAGACAATCTGGCATCCCTCCGCTCCACCATCCACAAACCTGAGTGATGGCGTGTGAGCGGCGGGACGACAGGACCAGCGTCTCAGTTTACTATAATTCCCTGCGTCCATGGACCCCTGGACCTGCTGCCTTTATCTAAGGGGGAACATTAACTACCAGAAGCTAAACTAAACAAGTGAGTTTTCAGCCTAGATTTGAAGATTGCGACTGAGTCTGAGTCCCGAACATTTTCTGGAAGATCATTCCAGAGTTTGGGGGCTTTATAAGAAAAGGCTCTTCCCCCAGATGAAGCCTTCTGAATTCTGGGAACTATTAAAAAGCCTAGCACTCTGTGATCTGAGTAATCGTGGTGGCTCATAATGGGAAATAAGGTCTTGCAGGTACTCAGGAGCCCATGTAGGGCTTTATACGTCAATAAAAGAATTTTGTAATCAATACGGAATTTAACAGGCAGCCAATGGAGTGATGATAGAACTGGACTGATATGATCAAATGTTCTAGTTTTAGTGAGAACCCTGGCTGCAGCATTTTGAACTAGTTGAAGTTTACTTAAATTCCTGCTGGTGCATCCTGACAGTAGTGCATTACAGTAATCTAGCCTTGAGGTAATAAAGGCATGTACTAATGGAATAATAATACTAATAGAAACAGCACTTATACTGCTATTAATAATAATAATACTCCTACTGATAATAATAACAACTACAACATTTATGACATTAAAATCATTATATTAATATATGCTGTGTATATGATGATGATACCATTATTATTATTATTATTATTATTATTATTATCCCAAATCAGTCTCACATGTTCAGATCCACACTGTTGCTCCACTCCTTTGAGGTCATGGTTGCATTTTGATAAGAGTGAATTTTCATAATTATTTAATGAAGTAATTTGTCAGCTATTATAGTTTATTAACCATCTATAATATCCACTTTATTTTTACAGCCTTTCAGATTTACAAGAGGATCTCAGAGGATAAACGTGGCAACCTTCCAGCAAAGAGAGAGATCATCAATGAACTTGATTTTAAAGAAAGACGCTGCCTGACAGAGTGAGAGTGCAGCTCACTCTCTCTGACTCACTCTTCACTGAGACGAGAGGACAGACTGAGCGCAAAGTGCAGAGTCTAACTCTCGATCCAGACCATGTCAGTGTCTGTGAGCAGGAGAGGAGACACTTTATCATCGTTTGACTTTGATGGAAAGTTATTGTTGTGTTTGCAGCAGCAGCGGAAAAAATACTTAAAGCTGCACTGTGAATGATTGATGATGATGAAACTGACAGAGGCAGCGTCACAGAGTCGGGAGAAAAAGCTTTCTTTACCTTTTAACATCACACGCAGACTCAAAAAGGAGGTCCAACTCGATGTTTTGGCCTCAAATGATCTCAAAATCAGCATCATATGGATGAAGATATGATAACGGTAGCAGATACAGCGGTGTTTGAAAGTTTGTGAACCCTTCAGAATTTTCTATATTTCTGCATAAATTTGAACTAAAACCTAATTAGATTTTCACACAAGTCCTAAAAGTAGATAACGAGAACCAAATTAAACAAATGAGACAAAATATTAGACTTGGTCATTTATTAATTGCGGAAAATGATTCAGTATCTGGTGTGACCTGCTTGTGCAGCAATAACTGCAACTAAACGTTTCCGGTAACTGTTGATAGTCCTGAACATCACCTTGGTGGATTTTAGCCCCTCCACACAAAACAGCTTTAGCTCTGTTATGTTGGTGGGTTTCCTCTCATGAACTGCTGCTTCAGGTCAGGACTTGAACAACATCTCTACAGGATTAAGGTCAGGACTTTGACTCAGCCATTCCAGAACACCAACTTTATTCCCCTTTAACCATTCCTTGGTAGAATGGCTTCTGTGCTTAGGGTCGTTGTTTTGCTGCATGACCCATGTTCTCTTGAGTTTCAGCTCAGGAACAGATGTCCTGACATCTTCCTTAAGAATTTAGTGTTATAATTCAGAGTTCATTGCTCCATCAATGATAGTAAGCCACCCTGGCCCAGACGCAGCGAAACAGGCCCAAACCATGATACTACCACCACCATGTTTCACAGATGGGATAAGGTTTTTATGCTGGAATACAGTGTTTTCCTTTCTCCAAACATAATAATTTTCAAAGATTTTACAAAGATCTATTTTGGTCTCATCTGTCCACAAAACATTGTTCCAGTAGCCTTCTGGCTTGTGATCTTTAGCAAACTGCAGACGGGCAGCAATGCTCTTCTTGGAGAGCAGTGGCTTCTCCTTGCAACCCTACCATGTACACCATTGTTGTTCAGTGTTCTCCTGATGATGGACTCATAAACATAAACATTAGCCACTGTGAGACAGGCCTGCAGTTGCTTCTAAGTTACCCTGGGTTCCTTTGTGACCTCGCGTACTATTACGCGCTGTTCAAACTCTTTAGAGATGGTTTTGTAACCTTCTCCAGCCTGATGAGCATCAACAGCTCTTCTTCTGAGGTCCTCAGAATCTCCTTTGTTGGTGCCGTGATACACTTCCACAAACATGTGCTCTGAAGATCAGACTGTGACAGATCCCTGTTCTTTAAATAAAACAGGGTGGTCACTCACCTGATTGCCGTCCCATTGATTGAAAACACCTGACTCTAATTTCACCTTCAAATTATCTGCTAATCCTAAAGTTCACAAACTTTTGCCACTGACAGATCTGAAATATTGGATCATTTCCACCAGAGAGGGCTCCAAATCCCCAAAACTTACACAGTGCAGCTTTAAATATTAATTTTTAGGATTTGTACATTGTTCAAGTGTTACTGTTGCTTTTAAATGTGGGGACTTTTTGTTTTACAACTCAAGTTTATTTTTTTGGCTCCATTTTTAAAAATTAACATGTAAACAGAGAGATTCAGAGCATTTCAGAGCATTTCAGAGCGGTTCAGAGAGGTTCAGAGAGGTTCAGAGAGGTTCAGAGAGGTTCAGAGCGGATCAGAGAGGTTCAGAGTTGTTCAGAGAGGTTCAGAGAGGTTCAGAGAGGTTCAGGGCGGTTCAGAGAGGTTCAGAGCGGTTCAGAGAGGTTCAGAGAGGTTCAGAGAGGTTCAGAGTGGTTCAGAGAGATTCAGAGCGGTTCAGAGAGGTTCAGAGAGGTTCAGAGTGGTTCAGAGAGATTCAGAGCGGTTCAGAGAGGTTCAGAGTGGTTCAGAGAGGTTCAGAGTGGTTCAGAGAGGTTCAGAGTGGTTCAGAGAGGTTCAGAGAGGTTCAGAGAGGTTCAGAGTGGTTCAGAGAGGTTCAGAGAGATTCAGAGCGGTTTAGAGCGGATCAGAGAGGTTCAGAGAGGTTCAGAGTGGTTCAGGGTGGTTCAGAGAGGTTCAGAATGGTTCAGAGAGATTCAGAGCGGTTCAGGGCGGTTCAGAGCGGTTCAGAGAGGTTCAGAGTGGTTCAGAGTGGTTCAGAGCGGTTCAGAGAGGTTCAGAGAGGTTCAGAGTGGTTCAGAGAGGTTCAGAGCGGTTCAGAGAGGTTCAGGGCGGTTCAGAGCGGTTCAGAGAGGTTCAGAGAGGTTCAGAGTGGTTCAGAGAGGTTCAGAGTGGTTCAGAGATGTTCAGAGATGTTCAGGGCGGTTCAGGGCGGTTCAGGGCGGTTCAGAGCGGTTCAGAGCGGTTCAGAGATGTTCAGAGAGGTTCAGAGAGGTTCAGAGAGGTTCAGAGATGTTCAGAGAGGTTCAGAGGGGTTCAGAGTGGTTCAGAGGGGTTCAGAGCGGTTCAGGGCGGTTCAGAGCGGTTCAGAGAGGTTCAGAGTGGTTCAGAGAGGTTCAGAGGGGTTTAGAGCAGTTTGGTGTGAAACGCTCTGTTCTAGAGAAACTTACTGAGTCAGAACTGTTCACAGTGGTGGTGATAGGAACCAGACGTCCACCTCTAAAAGCTCCCTCACAGAAAGTTCCTACATGAAATGGTTATGAATTCACTGCCTGATGACTGAGACACTGTTTTATGATAGTTTAGAGAACTTAAACTCCATTCATGGTGGAGGGATACATGCAGGGCGCTGTGAGGCAAAATAGTCCCCAAAGAAAACTTATTATTTCAGATTCCACTGTTTTCCATCATCAATATTCCATATAAACTCAGAAGACCTGATTTTCTCCCTCCGTGTCCTGAATTCCTCAGATATTAAAGTAAAACCCACAACGTCACTGCAGCTGTGATCATTCAGACTCATGTCAGTGGCGTCCTTTCAGCCACGCTGCTGTACAGTTTAAAGCAGGTTTGTTTTTATATGTCAGGCCTGAGCTCCTCACACCGTAACCTGGTCACTCCGTTACGGAGCTGAGCCCACTTCCCTGTCCTGAATTCCTGACCTGTTACTGACCTGCTCTCCTCAGCACGTCTGCAGAAAAGCTGTCGTTAAACTCACCGAAACCCGTTTTATAGCTGTACCTGTCCGTGCTGAGCTGAGTGACGCTGCAGAGTCTTTATCCAGCGCTTGGGTCAGCAGGCACAGCACCAAGGTCCAGCTGGCTCTGATCCAGACCTGAGTGACTACCACGTGACCTCCGACCTCCATGCCTTCACCACGGCCTACAGATCCACCCTCAACCACAGTGAGTACTGAGCTGTACCACAGACAGACCAACAGATGGATAGACAGACACACAGACAGATAGACCAACTGATGGTTAGATAGACAGACAGACGGATAGATAGACCAACAGATGGGTAGATAGACAGAAAGACAGACAGACTAACAGATTGATTAAAGGATTGATAGATAAACAGACAGAGGCACACAGACTGACTGATATAGAAATATCTTCATTTTGCAGAGTTTACTGAGGTTATATGAGCTTATAAAACACATAATCATCTTCATAAGTTCACAGATGAGAAATTCATTAGAAGAATGAGCCTCATGAACATCTATTCATTTTTATAGTGATCTTTTATGGAAGCTGAATTAAAGCGCAGTGGAGCTGTTAATGTGTACTGAGTGTTTTAATGATTACTGGTTAATCAGATGTCAGTCATGTGTGTTTAGAGGTGGTAAATTCCAGCGTCGCTCTTTATCTCTTTATAACTCCAGCCTGCATCAATCAGATAAACACAGCTAACACACACACACACACACACACACATATATATATATATATATATATATATATATATATATATATATATATATATATAATTTTATACTATATGTATGTATAAAACACATTGTTACATATAGATATTAATATATATGTAGTGCATATGGTACATACTGTGTGTAAGTTGTGTGTGTTTGTGTTGCAGACAGGTCAGAGGACTAGAGTCCATTCTTCTGGAGGTCAGTGTTGAAAGTCACTTAAGTCACTTTAAAATGTATATTGTCTTTATATTTTGTGTATATCGTGTATATTTTGTGTATATTTAATATATTTGTTTGTTTTTCTTGTATTTTTTTTACTTATCTACTTTCTGTAGAGTGATTATCTGAGCCTCACCACAAGCATTTCAATGCATAAATGTCCTGACAGGTGCAAATGACAAATAAACTTCAAACTCTGGTCTTCAACTCCACAGACAGTCCGTCTCTCCTGAAGGGCTTTTCCGCTCTCGGCGTGTCCGTCATCGTCAGCTCACTCGTTCCCATCAAACGCTCCCACACAGGAGATGGCACAGCCGGACTTCTCACCCACCTCTGACCTCTACTCCTCCTTCAGTTATTTCACCCCGTTCACCATTTACTGTCTGCAGTTTGCTTCTCTAGTTTCAGCTCTGAAGCTATGAGGCTAATGTAGCTAACAAGTAGTGGCCGTTTATGTGCAGCAGTCAGCTGCCTGTCTAAATCACCTGTAATCTCTAATAGACTTCACTATATGGTTCCTGACACTGTACGGCTCTTTTCTGTAAACATGGACTAAAGCAACTTACAAAATTCAGGCCTCTAACTAGAAACTCCTGCAGTGATTAGCTACGCTAATGTACTTTAGTCCGTCTTTATACATATCAGTGAGTCATACAGAGTCAGAAACCACATAATCAAGACTGCTAGAGACACTGATCACCTCCACACAGTTTCAGTCATGTGTGTCGTGATTTAGGTAAGAAAAGTCTTCTAAGACTTGTTAGCTACATTAGCCTCGTAGCTCCAGTGCTAAAACTAAAGAAACTTCAGACATCAAACGCGTCTTGGCTGATTGTCGGCTTTGGGGTCGAGTAAATGAGATTTTCTAGTATCACTTTAACTATTGATAAGCACTGAGTGATGGTGGATGTGTGTGTGTTAAATATCTGCATTTACACCGATCAGGCATAACATTCTGACCACCTCCTTGTTTCAGTTAGCAGCCCTGAGATCAAAACCAATGGTTTGTAGACTTTTTAAAAGCAGGGAATGATCAACTGTATCAAAGGCTTTAGAGAGATCAATAAAATCACTGCACATTGTTTCTTTTCATCAATGGCACTGAAAAGATCATCTAAGATGAAAGTAGCCACAGAGATTAGTGCTTTTTTCTGAAATCAGATTAATAATCTAATAAGATTTGAAGATAAAGAGTTGATCATTCACTAAGGTTTCTAAGATCTGGGCTAAGCATGACAGTTTTGAGATGGTCTATAGTTATTAAGATCTGAGGCGTCACCTCCTCTGTGAAGTGGAGTTTTCCAGATGCTGGGAATTCTGCTTGATAAAATAGATTGAAAATGTATGTAATGTGTTGTAAAATAATCAGAGTCGCAGCCTCAGAGAGAAAAAGGGCTCCAGACTGTCCTCTCCTGTCCTTTTTTAGTTCTGATGGTGTTGAGGGCTTTGGCTACTAAGTGAGGAGAGAGAGAGAGTGAACGGTAAAGAGACCCATGTCTTACAGCAGGGGGTGAATCTATTACACTGAAAGGAGCTTCTGTATTATTATTAAATCAACGTCCAGCAGCTGTAAAGTGAGTATTAAATGATCAGATTTCTCTCTGATCAGTAAACTGTCGATCATGAATTACAGTATGAGTTGGAATATGCATTGATTTGTTACTGGGCAAATTAACCGTCTTCCAGAATTTGGAGGAGTTTGTAGCTGAATTTGTAAATATCTCAAGATAATATTCAGCTTTATCTTTTCTGATGTAGGAGGTTTGTTTATTCCTCAGCTGTCTGAAAGTGAGCCGTCGGTCTGTCTAGCGAGAGTTCATGATTTATTTCTTGTATTGACCAAGGAAGATATTTCAGAGTTGAACGAGGGATTTGATCTGTCTCTGATTCACATGTTTTTATAGGGGTCATGCTTGTTTACCACCACCAGGAGAGTTTTGCTGAAATGGTCTAGCACTAAATCAATATCCGGGATTTCTGGAGTGTAGTGGATGTCACTGATTGTTTTCAAAGGCCTAATCATTAAAATGTTTAAAATTTCCTCTAACCACCATCTGAGAGCCTGACTTTATTATGCTAGTGTTCTAATGTATCCGATAGGGCAGTGGTCACTAAAACCAGAGATAAACACACCTATAGAAGCAATTTTATCAGGTCTGTTGGATAAAATTAAACCTGTTAGTGATGACTTGGTGGGGTCATGTACGTTGGGTTGTGTTTGTTTTGTAATTAGTTGCGTTAACGACAGATTTCCACACACTTCCTTCGAGTGATTGAATGCATTAGTTAATCAATTAAAATCACCTACGATCAGCATTTCTGAGTTGATGTATAGATTTAAAAGTTCAGCTATATCATCTACAGTATGAGAGGAGCAGAAGGAGGTCTATAGATCCAGCTACCACGAAACTGTTACTGCATCTTGTGTGCAATTTTAAGGCTAAGAACTCAAAAATATTTTCTTTGGATATTGAATTAAGAGTTTTTATTTGAATAACAGATTTAATGTAAATAGCTGCTCCGCCACCCGTTGCTTTCCTATCAGCTCTGTATAGGTTATAACCAGGTAGGGCTGCTTCTGAGTTGGACACAGACTGTTTTAATATCTGGATCAGCCTGTGAAGTCAGTATTTTCAGATTATCCAGTTTATCACGCTGACGAAGGCTCCTCCTGTGTACATTAATTGTGCCTATGCCTTTCCTGTGTTTGAGTCTAGCAGGATCTGTTAATAATTTTGTTGGCAGTGCAGGTCTCGGGATCCGTGAGGCAGTTTGGGGGCGGAGGGGTGGCGAGGATGGCTTAATGCTGATAAGATTAGCTGGGTTAATAGAAAAGTTGCCTTTCCACTTTATTCCCCTGTCTGAGCGGCTGATCCCAGGTCTATTGCTAATGATTACAGGGATGGCTGAGTAACTATTTCTGAGTAACAGACGTGGAGCAGCTGCTGCTCTTTTCCCCCAACATTTGTGCTGATACAGTAAAGAAGCAGCAGGTTAACCAAGTCCAAATGGTCTGGATGTAAAGATGTGATCAGTGTGGGAGTTTTTAGAGTTTTAGAGTTTTAAATCATGCACTCAGTTCTGTTCACACCTTAAACACAGTTCATTAAAAAGCTTTGCTGCACACATGAGTGACTTTTTGACATTTTTCCTTGTTTATTTGCAGTATTTTCTTCTTTCTCGCTGTCACTGGCTGTTGGAGAGTCGCTGACCAGTACACACTGCTAGATCGCATCCAGAGTTGGATCGAAAACAAACGTTCGAACATTTGAGTCTTTTCTCCTCACACAGTAATCACTTCACTCTCCCAACTGTTGATGCGGTGCTCTTAAAATTCATTAATTAATTGACTCTTATTATTCCCACAATGGGGAAATTTCACCTCTGCATTTTAATCCATCCGTGCAGTGAAACACCACATACACACTAGTGAACACACACACTAGTGAAGATCTCTTAATGTGTAAGACAGTTCTTAGAAAAGGAGAGCAAGACAGACTGGATCCTCCCTCTCTCGGCCTGAAAAGGAGAGAATATATTAGTTACAGACTGGAGGATTGTGTTTTAGAGGTGAGGAGAAGGCAACTCTTCTGCTTTTCTCCTATCCTCCAGCAGTCTCTCTCTCTCTCTGTCTCTCTCTCTCTCTATCTCTATCTCTCTGTCTCTCTCTCTGTCTCTCTCTCTGTCTCTCTCTCTCTGTCTCTCTCTCTATCTCTCTCTCTCTGTCTCTCTCTCTCTCTCTCTGTCTATCTCTCAGGACTGATAATGTGGAACCTCAGTGATGGTGAGTCTGACCGTAACGGGTCGTTCTCTGGAGAGGACTGTGAGGTCGAGCAGGCTCTGGGCATCGTGCTGGCCGTCATGATGGCTCTGGTGGTCTTCTCGCTGGGCTGCTCGGTGGAGGTGGTGAAGGTGTGGATGCACGTGCAGCGCCCGTGGGCCATCCTGCTGGGGCTGCTGTGCCAATTCGGGCTCATGCCCCTCACCGCCTACCTGCTGGCACTGGGCTTCTCCGTCACGCCCGTGCAGGCCGTCGCCATCATCATTGTGGGCTCCAGCCCCGGAGGAAGCACCTCCAACTTCATCACCTACTGGCTGGATGGAGACATGGACCTCAGGTGAGCGTTCTAGCTTTAGGACTTCGAGGACTCGGACTGGACGTGTCCTGTTACTGAACTGTAGTGAAACAGTGAAGGTGTACAGAGAACCATCTCAAACTCAGCTTCTCACTCACAGCAGGTATTAAGATGAGAAAAAAAAATATTTTTATTTATTTTTTCATTAGAAAAAAACAACAAAAACATACAGAATTAAACATTTGTCATGAATAATCAGAGCAGTTTCACACTTTTTGAAGTTATAAAAGTCATTCACAGTCCCTGTTGTCCAAAAATCTCTATTTTTTGGTATAATTTGATCTCGGCTGCTGTGCTTTACATTATGGGAAAATGTCATTATTAACAGACCAATACAAATGCTGTTTTTCTTTCTCCTGAAAAGTTTCTGCTTTGGAGATCCGTGTTTTTCTTTGGACAGTGATGATGTATTTACAGGCCTTTAGTGTGGTGATGTTATTGCTGTCGAGCTGTAGGAGCCACATCACTCCTCTGATGTTTCTCCAGCCTCCTCATCACCGCCCTCGAAACGCGTTAATCATCCTTAAAGCGACATTCTGTAACAGTTTTACCCCAAAATAGCAGCTTCAAACTCACGTTAATGCTACACAACAGTGAGAACAGTGTCTCTGTTGTTGCCACTCCGGGCTGGAATTCCTGCTATAGCACTATGTAACTTTAGAGGAGCAGCACCAGAACCTCTCGCCAGAACTGAGTAGCGCTTTACGGCACCACGTCACACCAACAACTCAGCAGCTACAAGAAGAAGCAGCTCGGTATTCCCAGAATGGACATCACGGCAGAGGCTGCGAAGAGACTGAAGACGGCGCTGTCGGAGGAAGAGAAAAAGAGAAAGTGACCGAGCGAGAGGCATATGGACACTACAGATTACAGTCAAGAGTTATTTACACATAGAAACATAGAAATCACCAGTGTACTCTGCGGCGTCCACATTCCTGCAGGACATAAAGGGGAGTTGGACTCTGTGTCCTTCAGCTCATCAACAAATGCACGTGTGCAGCTGTCCATGAGGGGGCACTCACAGCATGATTTTTATTTATGACAGTGGTGTAAAAGTAAAATACACTCTGCATCTATAGGGAGAGCCCAAGTGGACTTTACCAATATTAGGGGGATAAAAATCATTTTCATTTTATATGAATATGTTTAATCTAAATGTACTTCAGTAGTTTCGGTTGAATGTTTACTGACTGATACACTCGTCAGTTCTTAATTATCACATTTTTTAAACTCAAATGAACAGAAACAGAGTCTGACAGTCACACTGAGGGCGGAGCTACCCAGAATGCTTTGCCCTTTTAGTTTCTCCTTATCACCTCTTTTTTTTGTGTTCTCATGTTGAAGGTGATGTTTGCTCAGTGAAGCTGTTTGTGTTCAGATTCACTGTTCAGTCTGTACTGTTATCATATAGTCTAATTCAAAAACACAGTTTGTTCCATGTTGTTGATTTTCTGGGTGTAAATAAGTTAAACATCCTCTACAGAGACTCACTACTGTACATTTTAATACACAAGTACTGTTTATATACTGAGTTCAACATATTGGGGGAAAATATTAAGCGTAAAATGTGACCTGTGAAAAAGTTACAGCACATCATAGTTTTATGTTTTTCAAATATGTTAAACTCAGCAAATAAACAGAAATTGTGCACTAAAATGTGTGTTTTCTGTAGAGGATGTGTTAATATGTCTTTACGTAGAAAATCAACAAACCATGGGGTGTTTAAACTTTTGCATATGAGATAAACAGAAAAATGATTGAAAAGAAATTAGCGCTCTTATCCTCAGGCTCATTTTTACACTCGGTTTTATTTGTTTAGTTGGTGACAGTTTTTCTCTGCATGGTATGTTTGGGATGCTGGTATATTTGACAACCAGCATGACCACCTATCTGTCTGTGTATCTGTGTATCTATCTATCTATCTATCTGTCTGTCTGTCTGTCTGTCTGTCTATGTAGTTAGCTATTTATCTGTCCATCCATCTGTGTATCTGTAAGTTCGCTGTGCTGTGTAGACGTTCTCCTCTTCAGGGTCCTGTCTGATCAGCTCCTGTGTTCCTCTGTCCTTAATTTCAGAGTGGACGATGTTAAACTGTGGACAGTATTAACTCACTGTATGATGTTTAACTATAATGTTTTTGGTTAATGTTTAAATATTTCAACTCTTTGCTGCATCCAAAATCTGCATCTACAAACCTCAAACGAACTCCACCCCAACTCCTCCTTAAACTCCACGGCCCACAGTTTTATACCCCTCTAGTCCACGCTGGGAACTGGACATTGAGACCTTAGGATTAAGTGCAGCATCCCATCCTATTGGTCAGTGCTTTTCTATGGAGACTAATGCTGTTTCAGCACTGAGTGACCTTAAAGTGGCTAAACTCACTCAGAAGATGATCTTTCTGGATACTTTTTCATAAAGACCGAAGAGAAAAGAGTTTATTAAGGTTGTTGCAGATGACTGAGATTCCCTTCCTTTGACTCTCTCTCTCTCTCTCTCTCTCTGTCTCTCTCTCTCTCTCTCTCTCTCCCAGCATCACCATGACGAGTATCTCCACTGTGCTGGGGCTGGGCTCCATGCCTCTGTGCCTCTATATCTACTCCTACTCGTGGATGCAGACGGGAGGTGTGCAGATCCCGTACCTCAACATCGGTAACACATTCAGAGACTCCATCACTGCATCACAGCAGCTCTGAGGCCTCTCTGTCCTCAGTAGCCCTCACAGCAGGTCACTTACCAGCACCTCGTCTCTTAGAGCAGATGTTCTCAACTTTCACACCTTAAGGCCCACTTCCCCCCTCTAAACTGCTCAAGCTCTGTCCAGTTACATGGAGATCATGAGTGAACAACCTTTTTCCGGCCAGGTGTAGCCACTCTGACTACATCTCACACACTGAGCAGAAGTTTTTGAAAAAGTGGTGAAATTCCATTCAAATATAGACAATCTATCTAATATTTTGTACTATGAGATTGTTATAAGAATATGATTATTATTAAAGGGTATATATTTCTAGACAGTTTTTAAGTAAAAGTTAAGTGTAATGATCATTTTACTTGTTTCAGCAGATAATGCTTGAGGGAAATATAATTATGTGATCATTTCGCCTGAATAAATCATTTAATGAGAGTAAAAATATTTAATAATGGTATTAAGTTCTTACAGCTGTCTCAAAATGAGAAATATTATCACCTACGTTTGAGATGCTTTCACCTACCACAATGTCATTTTCTCCAGTGCTCTTTTGAGAATGTGTCCTCGTCTCTTCACAGGAATCGCGTCCATCACGCTGATTGTTCCTGTGCTGTTCGGAGTGCTGGTCAACTACAAGTGGCCGAAAGTAGCAAAAATCATTTTGAGGGTAAGAAAAGGACAGTTAGTGAAAGACTGTTCACTCGCTTTCTGAGCACTGTTAGAAATAAAGGTTCTGTACATTTTTCCATCATCAAGGTACAAACAGTGTAAATGTTCCCTCAAAGCTCCAACAGTGGTTTTAAGGTCTGATTGTGAACCTTAAATAAGGGTTTCCAGGTGAAAAGTTCGTATTTGTACCTTTTCATAACCGAATGTTTTAAACAGAACAGTAAAATAAAAGCCTGGAGACGAGACGGGGTGTGTGGAGTCAGTACAGCTTAGAACATATCATTTCAGTGGATTATGGTTCAGTTATGTTCCCTGACTAAAGGTACTGAGATGGAGCCTTGAGGGTTCCACCCCAGTGACGAGAGGGGAACTGACCCAGTGACAGTTTAGTACCTTTATTTCTGAGAGTGTAGTGTTTGTTTTGTATATTATTTTATTTGCAAGAACAGATCTGAAACTGTGTACCTTCTACTGCACTACATCCATTAGGTAGTGACTGAATGCTTGAAAAGTGGAACAGCAGTGTTTTCCAAACAGTTTAAAGGTTGTGCGATCCACTGACTGCACATCTGTATCACTGTTGTTGGAACAAAACCTCGTATCTCCAAAATGGTAACTTACCTACTTTACTTTTAATGCAAGTCAGAGGAACCAGAGTTTTTCCCAAGTCATTTTGGTCCGTTTCTTTTGGTCCGTTCTTCATGAAATTTACACTCAATGTAAAGTAAAACAGGCTTTTTCAAATTATGTCAAAAACTGAAAAGGTTTTCAAGGTTTTCTTCCGACAGCAGCGATATGTTTCTACAGATGTGAAACACCACCAGAGCCTGAAGCCCCTGTGCTGCTCCAGATGGACTGTTTGATTTCCAATGTAAATGAATTCGTCTGCTAGCGAGTAAAGATTTACATTCGTATGCAAAAGTTTCAACACCCCACTTAGATGGTTATTTGAGGTTCTGATGATTTTGAAATAATAAGTTATTATATCTTCTATGGAGAAAAACACCGTCTTTATCCACTCACTGGCCACTTTATTAGAAACACCCACCTTGCGTTTCCACTCACTGGCCACTTTATTAGAAACACCCACCTTGAGTTTCCACTAACTGGCCACTTTATTAGAAACCCCTCCCTGATTGGTCACTCCATAGATGTAAGAATTACAGACCGTCTGTTGCTCCACAGTTTATTCCTCTACTCTATTCATGATGGCTCAGTTTCTGACCACGTATATTGTATTATAGCGTGTTTTTGATATTGTTTTGTATATTGTAGAGCACTAATAGTGATGATGTAATATATTTCATTTATTCCATGCTTTCCTCCGTTCTTGAAGACGCTGGTTCTGAGATGTTCTGCTTCTCTCTCTGCAGGTCGGCTCCTTAGTGGGCGGGTTGGTGATGTTAGCAGTTGGTGTGGCTAGTTCTGTGTTATCTGATGACCTGTGGAGCTCAGACACCTCTATTCTTGTGATTACTGCCATCTTTCCCCTGATTGGCTACCTGGCTGGATTCATCATCACCATTATAGCCCGACAGCCATGGAACCGGTCAGAAAACACTCTTCACTCTGCTGGACTGTCTGAATATTTACTGTGTGCAGCTGTGGTAGTGCATTTTCACTATCAAGGGTCTAAATCACTGATTTACCACTTCAGTTATAATGTAAGGCTGATTAAACAGGTTTAAAGTGAAGACTGACAGTGTAATCAGGCATATGACACTAACTGGCCACTTTATCAGAAACCCCTCTGTTGTAGCTCCACTGTGCTGGTGGTCAGGTAGAGGCTGTAGATCATCTGCTGATATACAGTTTGTGTTAAACATTCTCTACTCCTTCATCAGGGGTCGGTTTCTGACCACAGAGACACTTAAAGAAGGATATTTTTGAGTGAACGGTCCAGTCTCAACCTAACAGTGACACTGACGACAGGACTGGACAAAATACTTTAAAAAAGTATTGACAACTGAATACAAAATACACGGTCCTAAATGTAATCAGTAACGTATACAATTGCAATACATAACAATACAGGAACATATTCAGAATACCTTTAGAGTACTTTCAAAATACCTTTAGAGTACATTCAGAATACCTTTAGAATACATTCAAAATACCTTTAGAATACTTTCAGAATACCTTTAGAATACATTCAGAATACCTTTAGAATACATTCAAAATACCTTTAGAATACATTCAAAATACCTTTAGAATACATTCAGAATACCTTTAGAATACTTTCAGAATACCTTTAGAATACATTCAGAATACCTTTAGAATACTTTCAGAATACCTTTAGAATACTTTCAGAATACCTTTAGAATACATTCAGAATACCTTTAGAATACATTCAGAATACCTTTAGAATACATTCAAAATACCTTTAGAATACATTCAGAATACCTTTAGAGTACATTCGGAATACATTCAGAATACCTTTAGAGTACATTCAGAATACTTTCAGAATACCTTTAGAGTACATTCAAAATACCTTTAGAATACTTTCAGAATACCTTTAGAATACATTCAGAATACCTTTAGAATACATTCAAAATACCTTTAGAATACATTCAAAATACCTTTAGAATACATTCAGAATACCTTTAGAGTACATTCAGAATACCTTTAGAATACTTTCAAAATACCTTTAGAGTACATTCAAAATACCTTTAGAGTACATTCAGAATACCTTTAGAATACTTTCAGAATACCTTTAGAGTACATTCAAAATACCTTTAGAATACTTTCAGAATACCTTTAGAATACATTCAAAATACCTTTAGAGTACATTCAGAATACCTTTAGAATACTTTCAGAATACCTTTAGAGTACATTCAAAATACCTTTAGAATACATTCAGAATACCTTTAGAATACCTGTAGAATACATTCAGAATACCTTTAGAATACATTCAAAATACCTTTAGAATACATTCAAAATACCTTTAGAGTACATTCAGAATACTTTCAGAATACCTTTAGAATACATTCAGAATACCTTTAGAATACTTTCAGAATACCTTTAGAGTACATTCAAAATACCTTTAGAATACATTCAGAATACCTTTAGAGTACATTCAGAATACTTTCAGAATACCTTTAGAATACATTCAGAATACCTTTAGAATACATTCAGAATACCTTTAGAATACCTTTAGAATACTTTCAGAATACCTTTAGAATACATTCAGAATACCTTTAGAATACATTCAGAATACCTTTAGAGTACATTCAGAATACTTTCAGAATACCTTTAGAATACATTCAGAATACCTTTAGAATACCTTTAGAATACATTCAAAATACCTTTAGAATACATTCAAAATACCTTTAGAATACTTTCAGAATACCTTTAGAATACTTTCAGAATACCTTTAGAGTACATTCAAAATACCTTTAGAATACATTCAGAATACCTTTAGAATACTTTCAGAATACCTTTAGAGTACATTCAAAATACCTTTAGAATACTTTCAGAATACCTTTAGAATACTTTCAGAATACCTTTAGAGTACATTCAAAATACCTTTAGAATACATTCAGAATACCTTTAGAATACCTTTAGAGTACATTCAGAATACTTTCAGAATACCTTTAGAATACATTCAGAATACCTTTAGAATACCTTTAGAATACCTTTAGAATACATTCAGAATACTTTCAGAATACCTTTAGAATACATTCAGAATACCTTTAGAATACCTTTAGAATACCTTTAGAATACATTCAAAATACCTTTAGAATACCTTTAGAGTACATTCAGAATACTTTCAGAATACCTTTAGAATACATTCAGAATACCTTTAGAATACCTTTAGAGTACATTCAGAATACTTTCAGAATACCTTTAGAATACATTCAGAATACCTTTAGAATACCTTTAGAATACCTTTAGAATACATTCAAAATACCTTTAGAATACATTCAAAATACCTTTAGAATACATTCAAAATACCTTTAGAATACTTTCAGAATACCTTTAGAGTACATTCAAAATACCTTTAGAATACATTCAGAATACCTTTAGAGTACATTCAAAATACCTTTAGAATACATTCAGAATACCTTTAGAATACCTTTAGAATACCTTTAGAATACATTCAGAATACCTTTAGAGTACATTCAAAATACCTTTAGAGTACTTTCAGAATACTTTCAGAAAACCTTTTGAATACGTTTACAAAGCATCTTTTGAAAGTTTCTTTTTAAGATGGTATATATATGTTTTAAAGCTATGGGTCCTTATTCTAAAAGTGTTGTCTTAACAATGTAAAAAGTAACTGTATTCTGAATTCTGCCTTTACAACACGTAACTTAGACTCAGTAGAAATACTTAGTTTCTGTATTTTTAATATATATTCCCAATACTTGTATTTCATTACATGCCGACAGCAGAGATGACCATGACTGGTTAGTGAGTTTCTAATAAAGTGGCCACTTAGTGGAAGCACAAGGTGGGTGTTTCTAATAAAGTGGCCAGTGAGTGAAGTACAATGTGGGTGTTTCTAATAAAGTGGCCAGTTAGTGGAAGCACAAGGTGGGTGTTTCTAATAAAGTGGCCAGTTAGTGGAAGCACAAGGTGGGTGTTTCTAATAAAGTGACCAGTCAGTGGAAGCACAAGGTAGGTGTTTCTAATAAAATGGCCAGTTAGTGGAAGCACAAGGTGGGTGTTTCTAATAAAGTGGCCAGTGAGTGGAAGCACAAGGTGGGTGTTTCTAATTAAGTTACCAGTCAGTGGAAGCACAAGGTAGGTGTTTCTAATAAAATGGCCAGTTAGTGGAAGCACAAGGTAGGTGTTTCTAATAAAATGGCCAGTTAGTGGAAGCACAAGGTGGGTGTTTCTAATTAAGTTACCAGTTAGTGGAAGCACAAGGTGGGTGTTTCTAATAAAGTGGCCAGATAGTGGAAGTACAAGGTGGGTGTTTCTAATAAAGTGGCCAGTGAGTGGAAGTACAATGTGGGTGTTTCTAATAAAGTGGCCAGTGAGTGGAAGTACAAGGTGGGTGTTTCTAATAAAGTGGCCAGTTAGTGGAAACACAATACTCCTTTTTTAGTTCTTTTTAAAAAGAATAACAGTTTATTTTACTATTTTTTACTCTGAAGTCTGAAGTCAAGAAGTTAAAATCACATATAAGAAGAGTTTTTGTTTTTTTGTTTGCAGGTGCAGAACCATCTCCATGGAGACGGGAGCCCAGAACATGCAGCTGTGCGGGGTGTTTCTGCATCTGTTCTTCCCGTCGTCTGACGTGGTCACTCTGCCTGTCCTGTACTACTGCTTCCAGCTTCTCAGTGGCCTCCTGCTGGTCACAGGTGGGTACTGCATCCAAATCCACAGCACTATTAAATCAATTAAATCACTAATAATGTTACTACTAATAATAAATCTAACAATAACAGCAGTACTTATAATTCTACTACTAATAATACTAATAAGCATAACTGCACTTATAAAACTACTAGTAATAATAAGAATAATTCTCATTCTAATAATAATAACAACTATAACATTTCTAACATTAATACTGTTATATATATTAATATTGTTATGGTTGTGATGATGATAGCATAGTTGTTGTTGTTATCATTATTATTATTATTAGTATTATCCCAAATCAGCCCCGCGTGTTCTGATCCACACTGCCGCTCCACTCCAATGAGGTCATGGTTGGATTTTGATGAGAGTGAATTGTCATAATTACGCCCGTCTATAATATCCACTTTATTTTTACAGTCTTTCAGATTTACAAGAGGATTTCATGGAGGAGCGAGGTGACCTTTCAGCAAAGAGAAAGCATCAATGAGTGTGATTTAATGGAAAGATACTGCCTGACAGAGTGAGAGTACAGAGACCTCACTGCGCTGCTGCCTCACTCTCAGACTCACTCTTCACTGAGAGGACAGACTGTGTGGAAAGTGCAGATTCTAAACTCTCGATCCAGACCATGTCAGTGTCTGTGAGCAGAATAGCAGATACTTTATTATCATTTGATTATGATGGAAAGTTATTGTTGTGTTTGCAGCAGCAGTGGAAAATACTTAAAGCTGCACTGTGAATGATTTTTGTTAAACTGACAGAGGCAGCGTCACAGAGTCGGGAGGAAAGCTCGATGTTTCGGCCTCAAATGATCTCAGACTCAACATCACACTGATGAAGATGTGACGACTATAGTAGATAATTCACTCTCATCCTCAGAGACGCTCCTTCACCGAGTTTAGACTGAGTTCTCTTTGATTCTCTTTCAATCAGCAGATTCATCCACTCAGGAAGAACAACCCACACTACAGAATGTTCTGACTGCAGTTACACATTTCCACCAGAGAGGGCTCCAAATCCCCAAAACTTACACAGTGCATCTTTAAATATTAGTTTGAGGGATGTGTACATTGCTCAAGTGTTATTGTTGCTTTTAAATGTTTTTTGTTTTTCACTCAAGTTCATTTTTTGGCTCCAAACTACCATTTGTAACTGAGCGATTGAGTAACTAGCCATACTTTCACTTTACAGGGGAATTCCTCCAATTTTTGTAAACTCCTGCCTAATTAAACAGTTGAGATGTAAACAGAGTCATTCAGAGAGGTTCAGAGTGGTTCAGAGTGGTTTGGTGTGAAACGCTCTGTTCTAGATAAACTTACCGAGTCAGAACTGTTCACAGTGGTGGTGATAGGAACCAGACGTCCACCTCTAAAAGCTCCCTCACAGAAAGTTCCTACATGAAATGGTTATGAATTCACTGCCTGATGACTGAGACACTGTTTTATGATAGTTTAGAGAACTTAAACTCCATTCATGGTGGAGGGATACATGCAGGGCGCTGTGAGGCAAAATAGTCCCCAAAGAAAACTTATTATTTCAGATTTTCCACTATTTTCCATCATCAACATTCCATATAAACTCAGAAGACTCGTGTAGGTTCACTGGTGGTTCTGGATAGTAAATAAAATGTCTGTATTTGTGTTGTAGTCATGGTGACCCCTGGTTCCTATCACCACCACTGTGAAAGACATCTGAACCATTATTCCATTATGCAATTCCATACAAATTATATAAATGTAATGTATTGTCAGAGTTATATCATGTTTATTGTTTTTGGGACGTAATTGGACACTGTAATTCTATGTTTTCATACATAAGCGTTCTTTGAATTGTGTTTAATTTTAATTATTTACTGAATTTATCATATTGGGGGAAAAAAAACATAAATTATGGCCTGGGTAACTTATTTACACTCAGAAAAAATCCACAAAAAATGTAGAATTTGACCAGAAATGCTCAAACGTTTGCATACGTCTGTACGTAATATATTATTGTATAAGAGCAGTCTCAGTGTTTGTACTGTCGGCTGCATTCAGTGAGGTGCATTTCTGAGTTTCAGAGTTTCTTCACTCTGTTTTTGTCTCTTAGTGATATAAAAATGTGCTCAGCGAGTCGGAGCAGGGCACTGCGGTGTGTCCTGACCTGATTTTCTCCCTCTGTGTCCTCAGATATTAAAGTAAAACCCACAACGTCACTGCAGCTGTGATCATTCAGACTCATGTCAGTGGCGTCCTTTCAGCCACGCTGCTGTACAGTTTAAAGCAGGTTTGTTTTTATATGTCAGGCCTGAGCTCCTCACACCGTAACCTGGTCACTCCGTTACGGAGCTGAGCCCACTTCCCTGTCCTGAATTCCTGACCTGTTACTGACCTGCTCTCCTCAGCACGTCTGCAGGAAAGCTGTCGTTAAACTCACCGAAACCCGTTTTATAGCTGTACCTGTCCGTGCTGAGCTGAGTGACGCTGCAGAGTCTTTATCCAGCGCTTGGGTCAGCAGGCACAGCACCAAGGTCCAGCTGGCTCTGATCCAGACCTGAGTGACTACCACACGACCTCCGACCTCCATGCCTTCACCACGGCCTACAGATCCACCCTCAACCACAGTGAGTACTGAGCTGTACCACAGACAGACCAACAGATAGATAGATTAAAGGATTGATAGATAAACAGACAGAGGCACACAGACTGACTGATATAGAAATATCTTCATTTTGCAGAGTTTACTGAGGTTATATGAGCTTATAAAACACATAATCATCTTCATAAGTTCACAGATGAGAAATTCATTAGAAGAATGAGCCTCATGAACATCTCTTCATTTTTATAGTGATCTTTTATGGAAGCTGAATTAAAGCGCAGAGGAGCTGTTAATGTGTACTGAGTGTTTTAATGATTACTGGTTAATCAGATGTCAGTCATGTGTGTTTAGAGGTGGTAAATTCCAGCGTCGCTCTTTATCTCTTTATAACTCCAGCCTGCATCAATCAGATAAACACAGCTAACACACACACACACACACACACACACACACACACACTGACGCTCAGGGATTTCCTGATTCTGACAGAACACATTCATCAGCGTCAGTAAAAAGTAGGTGTTTCTAATAAAGTGGTCAGTTAGTGGAAGCACAAGGTGGGTGTTTTTAATAAAGTGGCCAGTTTGTAGAAACACAAGGTGGGTGTTTCTAATAAAGTGGTCAGTGAGTGGAAGCACAAGGTGGGTGTTTCTAATAAAGTGGCCAGTTTGTAGAAGCACAAGGTGGGTGTTTCTAATAAAGTGGTCAGTTAGTGGAAGCACAAGGTGGGTGTTTCTAATAAAGTGGCCAGTTAGTAGAAGCACAAGGTGGGTGTTTCTAATGAAGTGGCCAGTTAGTTCATGCACAACATAGGTGTTTCTAATAAAGTGGCCAGTCAGTGTCTAAACTCATAAGGTTTACAACTGACCACTTTGCTGAATTGTATATGTTCCTGAGCCTCTGAATGGGTTCTCTGATCTGGTCAGTGCTGTGTCTCCTCATGAGCTGGGTCAGCGCAGTAGGAGGCAGTATGATAGTCGTATTGCAGGATAGAGAGTTTTATAGAGTTTTATCGCGTGTTTGAGGTGTTTATATGTTTGAATCTGATATAAATTAACAGTATTTTATGAGCTTTGATTGTTGTATTGAGATGTGTGTTGTAATCATAAGGCCTTATTGCTCTGTGAGTGACAGTAGTGTGTGTGTGTGTGTGTTATTCTCTCCAGGTTTGGCTGGTTTGGACTGGATCAGCAAAATGTGTATGATCTTACTCTGGATTATCTTGTCACTGATCTGGCAACCACAACAATAAAAACAAACAGACCTGCCGTGTCTAAATAACCTGCAATAAGAACTTTACCACAGTTCTCTCATAATCAGGAGGAATGTGTTGGTGTCCCAGTTTAACTCTAAACACAGCAGTGCCGGCATTAGAACCATAAGATACTCCACACCAGCTCGTCTGGGGCTGGGCAGCTCAGTCAGTGGCTTTCTATGAAAAAGAGTGAAAAAAAGGTTATTCATACAGCCGAGCAAATTTTTTTTAGTTATTAGTTTTTTAGTTATTGACTTTTAAACGCTTGCTCTAAACTGCATCTTATAGAATGACTAATCTGAGCCGAAATCATGACTGAATAAATGTGTGTGTAAAAAGCATTACTGCAATAAATGAATGACTCAAGCTGGAGTAACAGTAACTGCCAACAAGCTGCCTGAGTCAGGTTAAATACTGAGGATCTTATAGAGCTGCAGCGGAACCTTTTAGTCTATCTGGCATCTCTCAGTGTAGACCTGACTGTTAGTCTCTATTCCTCTATTTTGGATCAGTTTGGGTTAAAATAAAATGCTAAATAAAATGCACCAACCCTACAGAGACCCCAAAGGTGACATGAGGATTATTTTTAATAGCCACAAATTACTATATTGAGGCCACAAGTTACTATATGGAGGCCACAATTTACTATTTTGAGACTGCGAGTTATTATATTGAGGCCATAATAAAATTTGTTGAGGCCACAAATTACTATATTGACACCACACTTTACTATATTGAGGTAACAAATTACTATATTGAGGCCACAAGTCACTAAATTGAGGCTATGAGTTACTATATTCAGGCCATTATTTAATATGTTGAGGCCACAAATTACTACATTGAAGCCACAATTTACTACATTAAGGCTGTGAGTTACTATATTAAGGCCACAAATTACTACATTAAGGCCCCAAAGTACTATTTTGAGGCTACAAGTTAATATATTGAGCCTATGATTTAATGTGTTGAGGCCACAAATTAGTATACTGAGGTCACACTTTACTGTACTGGGGCTAAAATGTACTACATTAAGGCTACAGTTTACTATATTGAGGCCACGAGTTATGAGAAACTTAACTTGTGGCCTTGATATATTGACTGGTGGTCACACCTTATTAAATAATAATCAGCATGTCACCTTAGGGGCTCCGTAGTGTGGCAACATTTGGCAAAAGCAGTGTTGAAATTGTTCGAAAATCCCCTGTAGTCTCTAAAACTACATTTCCCAGAGTTCTTTGCTCCTCAATGACAACAGCCAGTCCAGGAGGAGTGAGCAGAGTCGGTTTCACTCAACATGAGGTAAAACAGCAAAAAATACCCTCCACAGCTCACATTCTCACACAAATACAGCAGTATGGCTAACATTAAGGTTAAAATGGTAAATAACGTTCACGAATTACTTCGTGTTTAGGGAAAAAACAGCTGAAAGGTCTGAGGGGAACAGCTAACCTAACTGAGCTAAGCTAGCAAAACTGTACCCGGAGGAGCCGAAGGTGGAATAAACTCTCTGTACAGCTTTATTAACGCTGTACAGCTGCGGCCGCTACACGGGGTCACAGATTCATTCAGGCGGTATAGATTGTGAAAGGAGTGCAGTTAGCCTCTTATTCGCCAGCTTCGTCGAATTTTCCCGTTCCACCTTAAGTAGCGTCAGGCGCCGGAATGTAACTGCTACACCGTTTAAGGTGGAACGGGGAAGTTCGAGGCTGGCGAGTAGCAGTCTGACTTCAGCGTGTGAACTGTTTATTTGTTCGCTCTAATATAATACAGCTGTATGTTTACATTCAGCGGCTAGCTTTAGCTGTAGATGCTAATTAGCACTGGGGTCTCAACTATTGAAACTAGTCAATAGACTTAGTACTGTCCTGTGGGGGGGGGCGGCTGCCGCCATAACGCGTTGGGGTCTCGGTTGCTGTACTGTAGGGGGGCTGCCATAACGCGTCGGGGTCTCGGTTGCTGTACTGTAGGGGGGCTGCCATAACGCGTCGGGGTCTCGGTTGCTGTACTGTAGGGGGGCTGCCATAGCGCGTCGGGGTCTCGGTTGCTGTACTGTAGGGGG